TCCTTCCTCTCTGTCTTCATGTGGCAGTCTCCTCCATCTCTTCTCTTTTTATAAGGACCCTGTTTATATTGGGTAAGGACCCCACCCTAATGGCCCCTTAACTTGATTACATCTGCAAATATAGTTGTTTTCTTTCCTTCTCCCCCAACACTCTCCCCACAACAGGTCATATTCATGGGCTCAGGACTTTAACATATCTTTCTGGGGAACATTATTCAATCTATGTCAGAAATGACCAGAGAACACTGAAAAAGAACTTAGGCAAACTATACTAGAGAATGGGGAAGGAGGGCAGTGTGCAGAGKTTCACATTTCTGGATGAACTGCCTTTCCATCAAAAGACTTTTGGGGCACGACACGTCAACCTTAAAGGTTTCTGCAGGAGTGGTTTCTTTCCTGCTTGGTTTACAGGCTGTGAACATCCAGTTTCCAGACCCTTTGCAAACCATTTTATCTCACTATATCTGGGCTTCTGAAACATATGTTAGTTTTTAGTCACATCTTATCTGCAGGAGACTGTGATGAGTCCTTACCTGCCTTCTCTCTCACTAAACATTGGCAACCCGGTGTGAGGAAGGTCCAGCTGTTCAACCCTACTATAGGAAGGTCTGCTGTTGACTGAGAAACTGAGGTTCAGCCAGGTTAGGGAGCAGACTTGCAGCTTCCAACCACCAAAGCTGGGCTTTATAACAGCTCTGACTCCAGAGAAACATGGAGAAAACCACAGGTGATCTTTCATCAATTCCATGTGACTAAAGAGAACAAATGGAAGTTACAAGGACAGACAATTTGGGCTAACAGTTAAGGAATTTTTTCTCTAAATCTTAAGACTTCTGATTGATTCTGCAATCCATAGAACTAACTAGTTTTTCTAATTTGCCTCCTTCTGACAGCTGAGCTTCTCAGACAGTGGACAGTTGTTATTCTCAATGTCCTTCTTAACCTATCCTCCTCTTGGGGGAGACTCTGAACTCTACACCTCAATGTATTTGTCTAAGAAGGGGTCCATTTGCTTCTTTAAGCCCTAGGAGACACAGCACAGGAGTCTAGTAGCTCCCTGATCAGAGCAGTTCAAGAGGACGCTTCTCAGGGGAGGGAAGCACCACCTCTAGGATCAACATTCTTTCTGCCAGGCTTCTGTTGTTTCAGGGTACAAGGTCTTGGCCTCTTGGATGGCACTTTCTTCCTGAACTCCACTTCTGTGTGCTGGGAATCCTGGGAAATATTGYAACCCTGCAAGTCTTCTGTGCAGTATACTGCCAGGTCCAGGCACTCTGACCTCGGCAGCCAGTAGATAGGGGCCGGACACCAGCCTTGCCCTTCTTCCTACCAGGACTTGGAAACACACTCTCCCAGTGAGGATGCCACCCTGCCACAATCTTCCCTTGCTAGGGGGGCAGTTTTATTTTCTGGGGAGCAGTTTTATTTTGAGGGGAGCTACATTGGGATCACTGATTAGGGTGCCCTGTCCATATGGTTCCTTTCTTTACTCAGAGAGGATACATCTTTCTTCCTGAAGACCCTAGATGCATACGTTATGTGAGGAGTAGCTGGTTCCCTGAAAAGCGTACTGTAGTCTAGGCGGAGAGGGAAAAATTGTTGGCGCTAAATGAGCTCACACCATCTGCAGTCTCTCCCACAGTCGTGGTCTACTCTGAGCCTCCCAACGGAAATGAAAACCACGAGACTTAAGAGAAGTCATGAGACCTCCAGGTCCAAGGTCCAATGGCTAGGATAACAGGCSTGGCATTCGAATCCAGGACTCCAGGGCCATCCTCTTCACTGCCGCATGTGACATTCTCCTCCATATCTTCTCTTCTCTGCCAGGAGGTAGAAGCTGGGGGCTGAGGACCTGAGCTCCTGTGCTCTCGCTTTTGCTCACCTGTGGCAGGACTGAACGCTCCGTGCGGGCAGGGGCCCAGCTCCACTCCTCAGGACCCAGGACCCGCAGGCTCTCACCCACGTCTGTCTGCTGGGCTACCAGAGGAGGTGAAAGGAGTTCTCCTTTCGCAGAGGAAGCTGCTGATGTGCGCCCTCAGTGTGGACATTGCGCGCTGTGGATGCCAATGCCCGGGTTCGGTGTTAAGTCCAAAGCAGGGCCCAGAAGCCACCGAGGCGGGGTGAAGAGCTCAAGCCCTGGGCATCTCAAAGCCAAGGGGCGGCGCAGACTTAGGGACCTCTGGTGCTGGCCTCGCCACCGCAGCCACCGCACTGCGCACGCGCGCTGTCCCGGCTCCGCCCCCCCGGGTAGGAACCTACAGCGGGTGCGGCGGCGGCAGCAGCAGCTCCGGACGCTGGCGGTGTAGACACCCCTGGGTCAGGACCCGGAYCCTGGACTGGCCGCCGGGTGAGTGGCTGACCGGGAGGGAAGGGCCCCGGCCAGGTACGCGGGGCAGGAGCGGACCGGGACTCGGGGCAGCGCGGGGCGGGGGCCTGACGAGGACCCGGCGGGCGCCTGCGGGTGGAGGCCCGCGGCCCSGGGGAGGGAGCCCCACCCCCGGCCTGCACCGTGGCCCCGCGCCCTCCCCACCCCCGCAGGCACCCCGCGGGGGCCGGGGTCAGGGGGCGCCGCCAGGGCTCCCGCCAGCGAGTGACAGGCCGCGGCCGGGGCGGGGACGGCGGCGGGGACCTGGGTCACAGCGCGCCGGGGGTCGCGCCCCCTCCCTGGCCCTCCGCCCGCCTTTGTGCCGCCGCCCGCGGGCCGGCGGGTGGGGACCGACGCGGAGAACGGAGCTGGCGGCGGTGTGGCCGCCGGGCCGCGGGTCCCCGCCCCCAGGTTTTAAATGATGCAGCCTGCGAGGATCCCTACCGGTCGCTCGAGCAGGAAGTGTGTAAGAGGCCATTTTTAAAGCCTCCTGCGGGCCTCGGGGGCCGGCGTTGACGTTCTTTGGTYTTCAGTAGCTAGAAGATCGCCCGGTGACCCCTCGAGGGGACCCGGACGGCCCCTGGTACAGGACGAGGGAGTCCCTCTGTCCCCGCGCCTCCCTTCCTCGCGCCACGCTGTGCAACGTGGACTGGCCTCGGATAAGGGTGCCGTCGGTGTGAGCGTGCCAACAATAAACTTGAGAACCAGACCTCATTGTCTTTCCTTGGAGGGTCGAAGAGGGTGTCCTGTCGGAAAGGCCCTGTCGGTGGAGGACCCATGCATGAGGTGGGGGAGCCGAGCCGAGGGGTCTACGCCAGAGGAAGCTTTGAATTGTCCCAAAAACCTGGTGTCATTCTGTGGGCCCTCTGCATCCCAGCCCGCTTCCCCCCGCCCCTTGTTGGCTTGGGGTTTGGGGTCAGTTTAAAAAGGCCAAGAGAAGGATGCGAAAGAATGAACATTTGGTAACCAAGAAAAGAAAGCCTTAGAAGAGGACATTTAACCCCTGCATGTAGGCTGGTAATTAAAATATCCCCTTAAAATGCCCCTGGTTTTGARAACTAGGATAATGAATGATTTGTCAGAGTAACATTACAAAATAAAAAGTGAAATACCAAGTACTTTGTTCTCTTTAAAAATAGAAGCCTACCTGCTAAACTGTAATATTGTGTTGGAGTCCTTAGAACATTGTCCTCCAAGTTTAGAATTGAAATCACCTTGGAAGAAAATTGTGGCCTCCAGAAACCTGCAGGACCTGACTATAGAAGAGCAATGAAGGAGCATGGGAATGTCTCCCAGTCCTTCTGAGTCACATGTGCAAAGTTCAACCCAACCCATGATTGTACACCATCACAGATACAGGCCAAGGGTATTATTGCAAGTCAGAAAATATGGTTTAGAAACCAATGTTATTTGGTTTTTTTAAGTAGAATACAAATAGAGCATTCCAATTTTTAAATTGTGATATTTTTAACCAAGGATGAATTTTTTGCTTACTTTCTATTTTGAGTCTAATATAGTAACCTTGAAAAATAACACTTTTGCATGTATCCATTTTCATTATGCTGTAACATTCATTACAAGTGTGCTTTGAAAAGAACAAAGGAGAGCATTCTCTTATTGGGACTCCTCCCTGACATGTTATCCTAAACTAATGTAGATTTTTAAAACCCAGTAACAACCATTAAAAAAAAAAAAAAATCACACTTCTGTCTCTCCTGCTCTATTTGYCTTTAAGTAAAAGGATCTGAGCTAGTGTTTGTGCGAGAGGAAGAACAAAGAACATTTTATGATTGTCACTAGGAAGGCGTTGCTTTCAGTTGCTTTCATTCATTCCCTCATTCTTTCATCCGGTTGTATTGAGTGCCTTCTATGGCCAACCCACTGATGTTGGTTATGGTAAAGGGGCCTCACCAGTGAGGATTTTCCCAGTCTTCAATTGTTCTCACATTGCCTGTCATCTACTRTATTTTTGGTTCACATATGCGAACCCAGCCCACTATAATTTCCGGGTTCATTCTTAAAGTAAAAGCAGCTGGATCATTTAATTCAGACTCTCCCATCATGGGAAGGGGGGTAGGGTAGCTTAAAAATCACCTGGGAAGAATTTTAAACCCCATGCCTGGGCCCCACCCTAGGAAAAGAGCCATCTGATGCATTAGGTCATATGAATCTTGGGACTCCTCTCTTTATTTGAGCTCCCAAAGTGACTGCTACACACACCAGTGTCTGAGAGGCACTTCTGGAGCTCATTCCTGCTATTTTCTAGGAGAAAAGTGCCCAAGAAACCAAGGATTTGCAGCTCCAGGACGTAAATCCAAGTGTCTGGCTTCTGTTGCAGGCAGCTGTGGAACCCAGGGTTCTGAGCCTAATGGTAGACGCCTACTCAGGGCCGGAAGCTTTGAGACCAGTGGCCCTCGGTGCTTGAGAAGAGAAGGACGCCTGAAAGGGAAGGAAAAGCCCTTGAGTCTTGCAACATTTTGACTCTTGTCTGTAGCTTCAGGCAGGAAGTAAGAACAGTACTCAAGTGGCAGGAGATCCTGGCTGCGACTTCAGTTTACAGCTTGACACGGCAGTGTAATGGAAAGCAGTTTAGATTTGACACCTTTTGGCAGCAGTTGATCTCCAACCCTGTGGCCTTAGCAAAGCCTCATGCTTTCTACAGACCTTTGCTCTTGGAAGAAGCAGGTACGTGAAGGCTTGCTTTAAAGAGTACCCAGGTAACATATGAACCTGCTTCTGCAGGCACCTCTTCTACCTCACCTGAGCCATGGTGCTCCAGGATTGACAAGCAGCCAGCCACTGAGCACACCTGCTCAGTTCCCTGATATAGGGATCCTCACTGAAACTACCCATCTTCTCCCATCTTCTGTCACACTCCTTAGGCACAGCAGCCCATGGTGGGTGTTGGGATCAGATCATCTGCYCTGTGCTCATCGTTGTCAATACCATGCCAGGCACTACCAGGAACATTCAAGTTTCTGAGAACCTGCAAAGTAGATTGTGGCATTATTCACCTTAAAATCAGTGACATACCAAGGTCACATGGCGAGGCAGGAGTAGAACCCTGAGACCTCCTGTCTAGTCACTCCATTACAGTCCCAAGGCAATGGCTTAGCCTTGCCTCCAGTATAAAGTACTATCCAGGGTGTCATTATTCCGTGCACTTCTCTGTGCACCTGCCCCTGGAGGGCCAGGTGATTCTCAACCTCAGCTGCATATTGGAATCATCTGGGAAGCTTTATAAACCTCAGCGTCTGGACTGCCCCTTGTCCTCAGCTCCTTCCAATTAAACTGGAGTCTTGGGGGGTTAGGGCCCAGGCATCCTTGTTAAAGCCCCCAGGTAACTCCAGTGTGCAATAGGTAAYCCACTGTTCCAGGGACCCCCTTAAACATCCTGGGCATGTCCTGACAAGGTTCACCTTTACATAGCCAAGGTAAGAACCACTAATGGAGGAGGAGATTTTGTCTCTGTTTGATTATACTTTTAATTAAACTCCTAACTCATTTTTTTCTGCAAAATTTTGGGTATTTTTCCAGAGGCAAAAAAAAAAAATGGAAATAACCAAAAATCTGTGTGTACATTTTTAGCATCATTAAGAGCATCCGAAGTCACTTGGAATCTTCTTTAATGAGGAATCTTGTGATATTGCTTGCAGTACTCCTTTTCCYTATCTTCTATATATACTTAATGCTAATATAGATTTACTCCTTAGCATGTTTTTTTCCATATATAAAACAATAAGCTTTAAACTTCATGGACATCAGCATTGGTTTCTTTTTTTCTCTCAAATTGTAAAGGGGGGAGAAGCCTTAAAATCCCTTTGTTTCCTAATATTGACTCAATTATGTGCCTAGCTGGGCCAAGTCATCCCCAAAGAACTCTGTAGACAGGATTGAGGATCCTAGCTTGGGTGGGTGTGGACCTTTGTTCCATTAGGCTCATTTGTTAAGCTTGCTAATCTCTGCTTCTCTGGACCTTACTGCCTTCTCCTACGGTGGAAAGAACCTTAACAAATATACGTTGACTTATTTTATGATGAAATGTCTCTGCCCAGCATAAAGCCACCTGCATGTACCTGGCAGCACCATGACAGTTAGGCATTTCTTCCTTGCAGTTTTCAAGTGAGAGTACCCAGGCCCAGCTTAGCCAGTATGAAATCACAACTAGTGTCAAGACCTAGGTTTTGGACTTTGTCCTGCTCTCCGGGGTCATTATGCTTTCCGGGGTTACACCAAGCTGCATTCATCTGGAGAACAGAGGAACCATCTCCTACAGCCTTCCTCTTCGTCTGTTGTCCATGCAGTACAATTTCAGAAGGAAATATCAGGTCCCGAGGGAAGCGTGTTTGTTGGCGACCTCTAGAAGTATTTTTTGGCCATCAGGATGGCACCCAGTTTGCAGTTAAGTCATTCTAAGTGTGAGGTAGTTTGGCATAAAGATTGCAATGCTTAATTGTTATTTTTTCCTGTCGAGATCTATTTATCCATTCAATTCAATTCTGATTTGTTGTCATGGTCAGAAAAAACTCTTGCTGAGGCAACAGTTTCTTCCTAAATATCCTACTGAGGAAGTATGTCCAGTTAACATGGCAAATGTCAGATTTCTTTCTTTTTTACCCTTATCCACTATCGCTCTTCTACATGCTTCTGAGCACTTAGGGTAAAATTGTGTTAAAATTTGGGTCACTGGGAAAAACTAGTAAGATGAGCCTTTTTATAGCCAAAGAGTCAAAGGAACACACAGGTACAGTTTTTGAGTGGCTGTGCCATGGGGCTGGGGACTTTACATACCTTACCAGTGTCTACTCCTAATAGCCCTTTAAGTTTGAAGGTGGTAAAGCTGTTTCCTTGCAACAAATAGAGAGGAATCACTTGTCTGGACACCCAGCAAATACAGGACAGGACCAGAGTTTGAACCCTCGACCTTCCAGCCCCATTCCTGTGCTTTTCATGGGCATATCAGCTGTACCAGTGAGGGATGTGGTGGGAGCCACAGTGAGACAGAGTTTCTAAGTCAGAATGCCTGAAAAGAGTTGCTTCCATTGGCTTCTCATCCACAGAGGATGCCAGCAGCCAGCCTACTAGCTCTGAGTTTGTTGGACACCCTTCGTGCACGAAAATGTAGGTGATATACTAGGCCTGCCTCTCTTCTTCTGTTTCACGCTAACATCCAGCTCAGAGGTACCTTCCTGCTACAGGGCTCTCACCGTGTGGCTGTGCTTCAAGGGGCAGGCTGGGGAAGGCAGGTCAGTAACCAGCTCACACCCAAAGCTCTGTGAGTGCGAGTTCTGTGGAGATTGTATGCAGCTGGTAGCCTTTGCTACTAAAACTAACAGGAGGTCTTGCCCTAGAGGTAAACCTATTTTAATCTGTACAACCAAACAATTGTGATTAAAATTATAAAATGAAATTCAGTGTATATTCTGGAAAGAGCAATTGTTAGGCAGCTAAGAAGCCTGTAAATTAGCCCCTCTTATGATTGGCAAAATGTCTTCATTAAAACAATAGAAAGTAATAGATTTAACAACTCAAAGTGTGCCATAACTTATCCAGGCACTTTCCCTCACCACCTCACCCTGGGTCCTCATGACAGCCCTGGGGGTGGGGGTCCTGCTGATGTCTGCTCTCCTGGTAAGGAATCAGTTTGCCYAGGCCTCACATCTAGGAAATCCTATGATTTTAAACCCTGTAGTCTCTTTCCAGAATCTATAGCTTTAAACATGAYTTTACCTCTTATTTCTCTGCTAATTCTGTTGAGCATGAGTCACTTCCAGCATTTAGAAGTCAGATGCTTCATTTTTAGTAAGAACTTATACAATCTTGCACATTTTATAATCCTTAGTATCACTTAACTGGTTTCTTCCAAACTCAGAGATTTTTTTCCCCTCGTGTCCCCATAATAAGTATTTTGGAAATCAGGACGAGTAAGCTCAAAAATGAAGAAGAGGAACCTCCTACACATACAGACACACACACACACACACACACACACACACACACACACACAGTGAGAGAGAGTGTTAGGCCTCCCCCCAGGCCTTTCCTTTGAGGAGGACAAGACAGTGCGGGACAGCAGGCTTCTTAGGCAGAGGGCTGCTTCTCTCCTGCATGGCTGTCATGCGGAGTTTTGCTGTAGGTAATTCTATATTGAAAAGCTCACTTCTGCTGCTTGAATAGCTTATACCAAACAGGCATCTAAATGGTAGGGACATTTTGTGCCATAATGATAACAAGACTATTATTTCTGTGTTTTTGAGAGCACTTCTAAATTATATGAAAGAGAAAAATAAAAGTATGTTTCTAGTCCCAGGAAGTCAAGTGCAGGGCTTCTGTAAGGCTGGGTGAGTTGGGAAAGTCTGTGAACTCTGACACTGATTTAGTGTGGTGTTTTCTTGAGTGCCCTCAGCATCCAATGCACCCATGCACAAATCTTTATCTACTGTGTTTATATAATCCTCTGTTATCAGCCCACTGAGCAATTACTTATCCAGAAGACTCAGCTTCTCTGGTGGTTGTATTTAGATAGAGGACTTTGTATGCAAAGAACTGGGGCTTGGGAGCTCTCGGGAGTATTCATATGCAAATACCAATATCTTGGCCACTTTGTGGTTCCCTGCTGCTCTGTGCATTTACTTTTATCTTGAAGTATTACATTTGAGCTATTCCAAGGGCCACACCCTGCTGCAACTAGCCACAGATTTGTATTGAAGGAACCTCCCATCTTTTCCACCAAGAATGAGGAAAATGGCAAAGTAGTAATACTAATTTATTTTGAAAATAGTTTAGAAACCAAGAAAGATGCTGTCAAACAATTGACAGTGCACTCATGGCCAGATTCCCTGCTTCCCCCATGAAACTGCAGGTCATAGATTCGTGCTTCATATTATCAGTTGCTCCTATGGATTCTCAGTTCAGAATACAGATGGTGTTTAACCTATGATGGTTCTACTCATGATTTTGTTATAAAAGCAACATGCACTCAGTAGAAATTATGYTCCTAATTTTGAATTTTGTTCTCTTCCCAGGCTAGTGATGTGCAATACAACAGTATTATGATRCAGGGCAGAGGCAGTGAACTCCCAATAGGCCATGCAGCCGCAAGTGTAATAACCAACACCATATTCGATAGCCACTGTAGTCAATAAATAAAATGAGGTGTTCAATGCATGAATATCTGATAGTCTTTRTGCTGGGTGGTTTGCCAACTGTAGACCTAGGTAATGGTTCTGAACACATTGAAGGCAGGTTAGGCTAAGCTCTGACATGCAGTAGGCTAGGAGGATTAAATGCATTTTTCACTTACAATGTTTTCGATTTATAATGGGTTTATTGGGATATAGCCCTACCATAAGTTGAGGCGCACACACAGCTTCTTAGATATTTTTGCAGAGGTGCCTCAAAAAAAAGTGTGTGTTTCTCAGGCATCAGAACCAGCCTGATTCTCTGAGGASTTCTTTCCAGTTGCTTCCACTTCTTGCTGATGGTCATGATCTTGCAGTCCAGTCTGTTCTCAAGTTTCAGGAAGAATAACACCCTCTAAGTTTTTAAAAGATTGGAGAGAAAAGTGGCAAAACAGCGTTTCTTGACTTTTTAAAAAATCATGGAGGCTGAGAAAGACGCTGAAAAACTGGAAATGTGCAAATGTAATCCTGGGTTGAACAATTCTTCAAAAAAAAAAAAAAAGGAATGTTGGCATGTGACTTTTGAGAATTATATGTTGAAACAGTTGATGAGCAAGTTGTGCTAGGTTAAGTAATTTAGTCTCTGTCTGAATTATGAGGCTGGTAGATGACAGAAGAGATTTTACGTATTGATTGGTATTCAAACCTTTGGGACAGAATTAAGAATCAAGGACTACTAGATAAGAGATGTGCAGATTATTAGCTGGTCTATTAAGAGTGATTAAGTAGTTTCCTTTTTGCAGCTCCAGTGTCAAGATGGAAGCCACTTCCTGTTTCATTTAGGAGCAAATTGTTAACAATGAAAACTAGGTGAAAAGCAAAATCTGCTGCCTAACGAAGGAGGAGCTTCACGTGTGGTCAGTGGTGGGGAAGTTTTAAGGTGAAGTGTCGCTGGACACTTTAGCTGGTRATTTCCAATATGGGCTTCATATCAGCTTTACCTGAAATGGCTTTCCACACCCAGGTGCCTCTTCCCCTGCCCTCTCCCCAGAGCCTKGGATTCCCTAGCCAAGGGTTGCAGCCCAGGAGAGTGTCTTTGCTGTGATTCTAAGGCTCCTTCAGAATGCAGAAACCTCGGGACCTCATCCTTCTATCACCTGACTTCAGCCTCTGCATCCTTTGGGCCTGTGGTTCGCTGAGSTTCTAAGTGCAGCTGTGGAGCTTGGTTTAGCTGGCTAAGAATGTCGGCATGAGCATACAGATGTAGGGTTCTTGTGTGGTCAAGTCAGATTTCAAGGGTCAGCGATATCAGACTGGTCTTAGAAATCACATGGCCCAGCCTTGTGTTGTATAAATGAACGAGCAGCTACAGATGGGTAATTCACCTGAGGCCACCTAGCAGAAGTTCATTGTGTCCCTTCTAACTCCCTTCACTGAACCTAGTTTATAGATCTGGAAAATAAAGTGCACTCATCTCTAGTAACTCCTGAAGAGGAGCCTGTGGTCTGCACCAGGAGTGCAGTAGACTAGAAGGTATGTGCCCCTCCCTGTGTCATGTGTTGCCAGCTCAGGGCATTCATGTGTCTCCTCCTAAGCAATGGTGCCCTACTGTAGGTGGAGAAGAGGGACAGCATCTTACAGCCCCAGGCCTCTGTCCACTAGCTGCCTGGATGCCGTGTGCACGTAAGGCTGGACAGGGCTGGATCTAGMTGCCATCAGAGTTTGACTGCACACTGGAAATTGCTTTTGAAAGAAGGTAACTATCTTTCACAGCAGAATAGGGAGAGAACACTGCAGGAGAAAATAGGGCTTATTATTGTACACTGTACGTTCTTTTGTTGCTTTTCAAAGCTGTTTTCGAAAGGCAAGTTTCATGCCAGGTCTGAATGCGTAGTAGTTGCTTCTTCCCACCCTACAGAAAGCACTTTCCCACTACCTTTGTGTGGATCTTGGCCTAATGGCCCTGTGCTGCTGACCAACACTCATTGCCCACCATGGAAGAGACCTGAGGCCCTCTGTGCCTCCTGGCACTTGGAGAAAGTTTTTAGTGTCTTAGTTATCACAGCAGCTCTGTGGGAGATGCTGGGTCGGCGTTCTTAATTCTAATTGCCAGATGACAATTTGAACTCCAGAGATTTAAGTGGTTTTCTAAGATCATAAAAGAAAGGCTTCTGGCAARAATGGTTTCTGTCAAGCTCCTGGTTCTATAGACTTTGAAAAAAATAAGTGCCATTAAAGATGAGTTGAAAATTAGTCCCTGAGTAACATGTAGAATATGAGTGTCGAAGGATCRTTGCTCTGGGAAACACCGGCCACTCCTGCTGCCCAACCCAAGCCATCCATGYCTCCCCACTGCCATCGTCTTGTCTCCTGTAGACTCTTGGCCTCATGGCGGCTAGAGACTGTTGGAGCATAAATCAGATGTCATGCCGCTGCTCCAGGCCTCACCTGGTCCTCCATCTCAGGCAGAGGAAAAGCCCCTGTCTTGTGAAACCCGTCACACAGCTTTCCTCAGCCAGTCTCCCTGTCCCTCTGACCATGTTGGCAGCTGCCCACTCCTCCCTCCTTCCTCAAGTGTACCATGCCCACTTAACAGCGACCTTTGTCTTTTCTGTGGAGACTTTTCCAGTACACCTAGGTCACCTTGGCTTACCGTGTTTCTTACCCAGTTCTCCCCCTTCTGCTTGACAATGAGTACAGGCTTGGCTTGTCCTCTGTCATTGCGCACCTGAGCATAGGGACCAGTCCGCCTTGGTCCACTGCCCTGCAGCACTCAGAATAAGGCCTGGCCCTTGACAGATGCTCAGTAGATGTTGAAGGAGGAATTTTTGTCTTCACAATGTTGTCTGTGTCACTGGCAGGTTGGGTGTGTGAGCAGAGCTGGCGTCCAAACTGACGAGGACTGAGGGGAGCCCTGGCTCCACCTGGGTGACCCACATATCCAAAAATCAAGCTGAAAAGGTCCTGGATGAAGATTTGGGGAGGCTAATATGACATTAAACTTGAAAAACTGCTTTGATGTGCTTAATAACACTTAAAAATAAGYTTCACTGATCAAAGGCTCTTCTAATGGCTGCTATAAAGTCCTTCCTGCAAGTGTCCTGCATTCATAGCCTCATGTGGTGATTTGTGGGGGCCTAGTTTGAAAATGTGTTCAATATCAACTCGGCTGCCAGCTCTGTTGTGTGGAGTGTTACTTTAACACACATGTAAGATCGCATATTGAGATTTACCATCGGATTCCCAAGGCCATTAAAATGTAGAGTAACTTTGATAATGGCTTAGGCAAACCTTGAATTCTTAWATTGATCATGCTTTGTGATTTTTGTTTTCCTATAGTGTTGCCTGGAATGTCAGAAGATTGACAGCAGTCATATTTTGGAGCATGCTCCTACAGTGGCAGTGTACCAAAGAAAGGTTGTGAAGTACCTACCCGCCACCAAGCACAGTGTGCTGCAGGGTGCCTCCGAAGGATTTTGTCATGTGAACTCTTTCTGAATTTCAGTCCGCTCTTTCTAGAAATGCAGATAAAGAAGATGAAGGATATTGGAGAGCCTTCGTACGCTACCCCAATGAATGGCACACATAACTCCTTGACCCTGTCACCCAAACACCCTAATTCTAACAGAGCAACTCGGCCAGACAGACAGGAAGCACAGGCCCTTTTGTATCAGGGCTCGGAGGCGGAGGCTGCCATGATGACCATTGCAACATGTGCAAAGTGCAGAAGTGTTCACAAAGTCCCTCTTCAAGATTTGAAGAAGGGTCCCGGGCAAGGCCAAGCGGAAGAAGGATATGTCTGCCTCCCATGCAGCCTTCAGACCGCTCCTCCCCATTTTCCCTTCATGAACGGGGATCCCAGGGCCACTCACGTCGGAAACAAAACCGAAGCCATCTCAAGTCCCATCAATAACAAATTCAAGGTGAGGAACTTTAAGCCAGGCAAATACTACTGTGATAAGTGCCGGTTTTCCACCAAGGACCCGCTGCAGCACAGGAAGCACACGCTGCAGCACGAGGAGATCAGGTTCATCTGCTCCCACTGCAGCTACGTCTCCTACACAAAGGGGGAGTTTCAGAGGCATCTGGTGAAGCACACGGGCATATTCCCTTATCAGTGTGAGTACTGTGACTATGGTGCTATTAGAAATGACTACATTGTCAAGCACAGGAAGAGAGTCCACGAGAGGGCTGGTGCTAAGAGACCTCTCAAAACTGCCACCAAGCTGGACCCAAAAAGAACTAGCATTTCCAGACAGAACATAGAGCTCTTAAAGGCCCCTAGCCTAAGGACCGCATTTCAGAACAGGTTGTCGGATCAGCTCTCAAGATTCTCTCTTCATGCTAATAAAGACAAAATTCACAATATCCTATTGTTACCCGAATCAAAGGAATACCAGAAAGATGTTGTGTGTATTCCCAATCAAATGACCTTACCGGAGCCAAATGAAGTCGGTCTGTTTGAGAACAAAAGCGTCGAGGTGGAAGTGTTATCTCCTTCAAAGGAACCCGTTCAGCCCGGTGTGCCGCTGACGGTCGTGGCCCCRGCGGAGCTAGTTGTCCCTGCAAACTGTTTGGCCCAGTTGATGGACGTGAAGGTGGTCAACGGCACACAGCAGCTCCTTCTCAAACTGTTTCCACTGGAGGAAAAGAGTCACCTGGAAGCTGGCAGTGGCGATGGAGGCGATCCAGAGCACGTGACTAAAGAGAAGTGTTCAAAGGAGCCAGAAAATGTATTTTCTGTAGAAAATATAAAGTCACTAGCAATAGAAGGGAACACTGGAAGACTTGTAGGTGTAGACAACCTTCGGTCTTCAGTTCAGAGACAACTGAAAGATGTGAAGTGGGTGAGGTCTTGTGATCTTGTGTCTGGCTCCCGTGTGCACGGTCACAGGGAACACCTTCTCAGTTCTGATGGGGTCGAGGATTTGCAGACAAGGAATGATTTGTATTCACATAGGACCGCTCTTCCTTTTACCTCCTTAAAAGGTCACTCTCCAGCCTCTGTCATGAAAAGTGGTGCCATGTGTGGTCTCGGAGCTGCTTCAGACCCTTTTCCTTCTAAAGCTGCCGATTCTTTCTCAAAAGATGGAAGAAATSTGCACGGTGACTCTCAGCCGTTATTTCATCTGGCTCTGACACCTCCAGCCACTTCCTTCTCTGGGGAAAAGGGCTTACTGCCTGCAGTCAGTCAGAGTGACTTGGAACCTGGAAGTCAGAGCAATGTTCCTGCCAAAATGGCTTCCTCTCCTGGGAAGCTGGAAGGTGACCAGGCAGAGGACAAGGCAGCTTCAGATCTAAGCCAGACCTCCCCTTCACGGGGGAGTGAGTGTTTATACACAGATATGACCAGAGGGGAAGACAGAACTAGATCTGAGCCTGGAGGCGACCCTGGGGAATTGAAGAATTCTGAAAGGACCAGTGAGACTCCCGAGGGCCCTGTCATCTCATCAGTCTTTTCTCTGAGCTCGGGGTCCGAAAATGTCCCAGAGGGCATTAAGTGGAACAGTTCAACATCCAAAATAAAGTCCATTGAACTCTTACGCAGAAAGATCGCYCAGCTGATTGAGTCCTGTGGCAAGCCTTCGTCTTTGTCTGCAAATAGTGCACGAGGTCGGTCCTCGTCAAAGGGAACCTCCAAAGCAACACCTGAAGGCATTCAGGACATTAACCTGTCACTTCCCGGCCCAGGCACTTCCACAGGTCCCCTCCAGACATCTCAGAATGAAGGTGATGTCACTGGCAGTGGACAGCTGGCTCATCAGCAGGTCTACCCACAGTTTGCTAATGGCAGTGAGGGGAACACTGAAAGCAGAGGGACCAGGAAGGCTCATGTGGCCACTCCAGTGCTGATCCCCAAAGGGGCCGTGTTGAGGGTTCTCAACTCCTCTGAGGATGCCCACATCATAGAGGCTACCTGCGATGCACCTGTTGGCATACCTTGCAGCAAAGCACAGTTGCCAAAACCAGCTCCTTATTGCCCCATGAAACAGACAGACTCAGACCTGCAGCCTTTGACCAGTGACGGTGGGCCAGTCGACATGTCCCCAGGTCTCGAGACAGCTCTTCGTCCTAAACCAAGAAAAGAGGATGCTACGTGTAGCGCCATCCCTAAGAAAACTGGCCCTGGGCCTGGACAGCATGGCTGTAGTGACCTGAGGAGGCCGGGGAGACTGCTATCCAGGAGTCTTCCAATGAGTAGGAATAAAACCAGGCAAGTGAATTCATCCAAGAAGAAAAGCAAACTTGAGGCCAATGCCAACCGCTGCCTCAGGGATCCTTCCGTTTTTCAGGTTGCCAGACAGCTCCGACTGATGGCCGCCAARCCAGATCAGTTGATTAAGTGCCCCCGTCGGAACCAGCCGGTCATCGTGCTAAATCATCCCGATGTGGACTCACCAGAAGTGACCAATGTGATGAAGGTGATCAATAAGTACAAGGGCAACGTCCTCAAGGTGGTTTTATCAGAAAGGACAAGGTGTCAGCTTGGCATTCGACGGCAGCACATGCGACTGACCTACCAGAACGTGGAGGATGCCAATCTGCTCAAAAGGCAAATGATGTTGAAAATGAAACTGAAAAAGGTTCATAAAAACAACTACCAGGTGGTGGACTCCTTGCCCGATGATTCSTCCCAGTGTATATTCAAGTGCTGGTTTTGTGGGCGGCTGTATGAGGACCAGGAAGAGTGGATGAGTCATGGCCAGCGGCATTTGATAGAGGCAACTAGAGACTGGGATGTTCTTTCTTCCAAGGGCAAATGAGGAAAGAGGGGTCTTTGAAGTGATTTGCTTCTCTTTTTAATGTTTCTGTTTGGGGGATGATTCCCCCAGATTCAATAGGAGAAATGCAGACTGGGGGGATGAGGGTTGTGGATTCTTCACATCCCTGTGGAAATGTTGATTCTTCCCCAGGACATGTCTGGACTCTGGGAGGTATTTAAAGCCCCTGAAATTGTGCGCGCACAAATGGATGTACATGCATTTTTCTGGAGAAAGGATGTGAAGTTCTCAACAGATTTTCAGTGGGATCTAAGACCTCTTTGTTTAGTATCCATTTTTCTGAGTAGATACAAATCTTTCATATTCCAGTTAGGAGGGGCAAGTTTAGAATAATTTACACCTGCCCCTTATATAAATGCTACTGAAGAATTAAATCTACGTTTCGGTGTGCATTTCCACTTTGTTTCTGCTTTAACTCCTCTCCTGAATATTTGGTACATAATGAGAATTATATTTTCTACTGTATTAGTTGTTTTAAATTTATTTTTTAAAAAATTGACATATTGGGGCTGGGAGTATAGCTCAGTGGTGCACAAGACCCTGGCTTCCATCCTCAGCACTGCAAAAAAAAAAAAAAAAAAAAAAAAAAGGATGGGGGGAATGGCATTCTTTTTAACCCCTCCCCACTCTGTAGTACTCTTGAGTGTGTATGTATTGTGGAGTTGCGCTCATGTTGTCTATTTTAAAGAACAGTTCCAAGGGTTTGCCTGCATTTACCAATTCAACAACAGGCATTGTGAAACAAAAGCAAATATTTCCAAGTGTTAGCTTTTGCTTTCTTTTAAAAAATCCTGATTTGTAACAATTGGATAGGGAATGTGCCTTCTCTGGGGGGAAAAAATTTTTATGAAGGGAAAGATCTAAAGTCAAGTCCCCTTAAAACTCCCACAAGCATAAATTAAGTGACCAGTTCAAAGGTGAAGGGAGTGGCTTCTTACAGCAGAGGTGGACCCTGGGAGGATAGCTCAGGGTGACTGGGGAAGGACCTTGGGAAGGGGCGAAGTGTTCACTTGGGAACTCGTCCTGAGACGGGGTGCATGCTGCCTGCTGTCCTGGATCACTGGAGTCAGGGACACCTCTCCAAGGTCAGACCTTACTCTCTTTGGCCATTTTTTCTGAAGAGGCACAATTTTTCCTCATGAAACTTAGTAGAAGCTGTCAGGAATCACCAAAATGGAAGGGACCCCCCCCCCACAATTACACACTGTGTTTGTCAAGGTGGTAGCAGACACTCCCTGGTTTTCACTGCAACAATCTGCCCCCATCTGTCTTCTCCACACGTGTTCTCTTGCTCACCTCTCCTGGGAGAAGATCAGTCCTTCTACCCACAGATGCCTGCACTGTGCCTGAGCTACAAAGCACCTTTGCACACATGAGGAGCAGCCCCGCCCTGGCATAAGCCTGGCTTCCAGGTAGATGGACGCTGTAAACATCCCCCATGGCTGAATTKTAGTCCTCTCATGCCCAGGCGGAGAGCTGACCTTCAGGCAGGACACAGGTGGTGCAGTAATGACCCTTCCCCTTCAGGAAGGGCCTGCCTCTGGGGGTTAACAGTGCAGAGTGGAACTGGGGCAGTACATCTGGAAAGGACACCAGGGACTTCTGACTTACCAAGGTTGTCAATGGAGACTTCCTGATTTTTTTTTTCCCATATGGGAAAGTCTCATATGTGGGATTGTGCTCCTCTGAAGTTTGTTCTCATAGATAATCAGCATTTCTTAGGTATAATTCAATACATGATCATTAAGTTGATTAATTGGCTAATTTTTATTGGAATTTAAAACTTGCATTTTTTATATATGTGTATATATGTGTGTGTACACATATAAATATTTTTTACCACATGGAAGTTGCAATAGCTAATTTTCTGATTTCCTATTTTATAATGATATGTGGGCTGGGAAAATGTAAAACATTTTTATATTCTAGAAATAATTTATTTTGGAAGTACATTTTTATAATGGTTTGGTCTCATTTTTAGAAAATGAAAGCACAGTATGTGATAGGATCTAATTTATATGAACAAACAGGAGTAGACACCCCTGTGAATCATTTTATTATGACATTTAGTTCTTAGTCTTTTTTTATTTGGTGCTTTGTGGTAAGTGGCTTATGTGAACCAGCATCACATAAGAGCATTCTGAAACCATATCCATGTTACACCGTACACCCCTCTAGCGTAAAAGAAACCTAAAATGTGGAGAGAAGGGAAGAAAATGCTGTGACTTTTACTTTTATCTTCGATACCTCACCACTTAGTAGCTTCTTCCTGAAAGGGCCAGCCAAGAGCTAGCCCTGGACCTATCTGCTCAGAGTGTTAAGTGTCCACGTGAAATATTGACCTTTGACAGCACTGACTGTTGTTCAAGTATTATCTAAGCCACAAGTCGAGTACTTGTGTGGAGTTGAATTTTGTGAGTAGAATATGTAGCAGACCTTTTGGGGACATTTGGAACTACGTACTTAAGGAGTTCAAAGTGTTCCTAGAATTCTTAGAAAAGGGGAAACAAAAGTGGCTGTCTTCCCTAAATAGCTTTAGAAAATAGCTTATTAACATGTAGGTAAATGTCATGAGATAAACAAGTTTCTAACAAAATTGGAGGGAGTGGGCAGGACAGTGTTGAATACTCTTTCCCTTGATTTTGAAGGATCTCCAGTCACTACATTTTATTAATAGTACTAATAAAATTATTTTAAACTTATTTTTTAAAGTAGGCTTTCTTACTTTTGGGGACCAGAAATAGGCAAACTTGTTATATTTGTTATAGGCAAATAGAGTAAAAATGTAAAAAACAAAACAAAAACACTAAATATGCTCATAACAGATTATATTTTTTTTCAAATTTGTATCCCCAGTCCAAAACATTTGGTGAGCCCTTACACAGAGCTGAACTGAACACAAGGTACTAATTAGCCTCGAAAGCCCCATCGCTCTTTCTTTAGGACTTCTCTAAGCCATCCCAAAAAATAAAGACGTGATGCTGCTCCACCTTTTGAATCCGTGAATGTCTATTTGATCGGAAAACAAAACTTTGTATAACAAGTTAAGCATTATTATAATTCCTGGGTTARCAGTTTGTGTGTCTGCTGCTCTGGTTTTGAAACACATTTGTATATAGATAGAGAAGTCGGAGTAAGTTTTGTTAATAAAGCAACTGTACCGTTTTCTCTGCCCTTGATTTCACATGTTAAGCCAGGTGGCCATTGCACAGCCTGTCTGTGATGCCTGTCTGGGTTACATGAGGTGAAGGAATCAATCTGTACAGCCCAGGAGCTTTGAATTCCACCGAGTGCTTGGAATCAGGCACTGCCGGTTATTCGTGCATACCCTGAGGTGAAGCTGGTGACTTGGTTGTGTTTTGTCTTAAATTCCAAGTGATGTGGTTTGGATGGTGGTGGGAGGGGAGTGGCTTGGCAGAGAAGGAATCTGCWCACTTCACCCCCTCACATGTCTGGCCTCTCAAGTCAAGGGGCACGGGTGGAAGGTCCCTGAGCCCACTGGCCCCGGGAGTGTCTGCACGGTTGGGTCACCTGTCCAGACGTACCTGACCCCTGTACCTGAATCCACACATACTTGGGAAGAGGGGCAATTAGGATATTTGAAGAGTGTTCTTAATGTGCCTGTCTGACTCCCAGGTCCCGGTCAAGGGACAGGAAATGTCAGCAGAGCCTGAGGAGGAGAGGAAGGCCGCTTTGCTTCCCTTCAGCAATCTGGTCCAGGGGTGTTTGTGTGAGTTGAAATGAGTCGTCATCCTGGGTCCTATAGGACTCCCTCTGCCATGGTGTTGTCGCCTTTGACAAGGGTTCTGGGGAAGAGTGTAGAGATCCCATGAGGCTTTGGCAGCCTGGAGAGGGGTCTGTTTAGGCTTGGACTACCAGGCAGGCTCATTGTGGTGAATGGAACAGAGAACGGGCAGAAAGGACTGAGAGGCAGGACAGCTAAGAAGTGCAGTGACTAAGAAAGCTTCTCAGGAGGATTCAGAATAGCTCCAATTCACCAGCTTTCCTTGGGGATGGAGGAAGAGACATCTAGGACAGTGTTGGGCAGGAGCACTGTGGTGCCTCTCACATCCACAAGGCCCTGTTTGCTATGTGCAGAGCTCTTTATGGTCACAGCTCCACTTGCCACCATTGCCTTAAGGTGCCGGCCCCAGGYGACCTTACTGGCATGGGACTCCATGCCAAGGAATGTAGACTTGGTGCAGAGCAGCCCTGTCCAATAGGAACACAGAGCAAGCCAGTCTGTGCCACCTGTCATCACACCAAAAAGAACAGGTGTGAACTTTTTAATAAGACCGATTTGACCCAATACACTTTTTTTTTTTTTTAGCAATATAAAACCTGGCATGTATTTTTACCCTGACATGTTTCAGTTTTAATGTTAAATCTTTCAATTACAATTAAAAGCAATCCTACAACAATCCTTGGTTAAATCAAGTGTTTAACAGGAAGATATTTTACATTGCTTTAATTTTAAAACTAAGATCTAGTTTCTCTGTAACCCCAGCCAATTTYGAGTGTCCACATTCCTGATGGCTGCCATGCTAAACCGCACAGGAGAAGGGGAAGCAAACTGTAAATMCCCGGGCACTTGTCTGAGCGTCTTGACAGGAAACACTGGACTTTATTTATGAATCTGAAGCTAGGGTGTGCTAGGCTGGGTTTGAGTAACGTGCAAGAAATGCCAGTTCTCTGCCAGCTTTCTGTATTAGTGCCCCAGCAGCCCTATTTCTAGGTCTTTGCCCTAGAGAACTGGTGTTGCTCAGCGAACTTTAAGAGTATCATTTATTTTCCAGTCCTACTTGGTCAAACAGATTCTTATTTCTCATTCACACTATATGTCCAACACAGATGGATGAGGGGACTCGGCTCCCCTCATCTGTCAGGGACCTGGGCTTATAGAGGGTCCCTTCTTGTAACTGCACCATCTGAACCACTTGAGCATCTCTGTCACTAAGACAAGAGCAAGAGGAGAGGGTCCTGCACAGCTAAGAAGCAACRCACAGACACCCACTCCCAATCACAGTCTCTGGAAGGAGCTACTCGGCGCCCCCATAAGAGTATATAGAGGAGCAGCAGCAGGGATGATGCCCAGCACACATGTTGGAGAAGTATAAATGGTAGTTGTCCACATGGAAAGCAACTTGCCACCTGAGAGCTGTGAAATTGAACATTCTGAGAAGCATTGTTGAAGATATGGAGAAGCAGGAACTTCATCTTTGAAAGTGCCAAACTTGAAGAAGTACTTGATTATGCTCATTTGCAGTTCCTGGATTACTAATGAAGTAGTGTACCTTTACAAGTGTTTATTGGATATTTGGATTTCCTGTGAATAACCTGCTGATGTTYTT